AAGGTTAGGGTTCCAACATGTATTTAAAGGGTTTGGAGACCAAGGATTAGGTTTAGAGGTAAAAGCGTCTTTTCCCGTGATTAGGTTAAGTGCAAACTCGAGTTTCTGGAAAAGGGAGAAGCCTTAGTGACCGGGGTAGAGAGTAAGAGGCAGCCCGGGCTCGGCCCATGTGACCGGTGCGGCCTAGAAGCTCCGAAACGGTTGCATAGCTTCTGGCCGGTCTGGACATGTCTTCACTCTTCTGGTCATAATTTCCTAATGGCTCGATGAAAAGTTCTGATTCCACTAGAGACGAATCCTGACTCTTCTATAGCCACCGAGATCTCTTGATTTGGTAATCGGGAAGGTCTTGAATGGACGCCATACTTCTAACGTACAGAAACTGTCTTGAAACGGGTTTTGATCGCTTTTTGGTTTTTAAAGCTCAAAAACTCTTAAAACCTTCTTGACTCCATAAATACTTGAAAAACACCTTCTTGGCTCTAACATTACTCCAAATGCTCCCTAAAACATAAGAAAACAATAGCAAATATGGGCGAAAATCCCATGTTATGATAAGGTAAGTCGAGGTGTAGCTTGTATCTGAATAACTTGGGGAGATAGATGAAGTGTCTTGGAACCTTTAGAATGGATAGGGCCTAGGATCATCTTAACATGTGAAGGAATGGACAAGGAAATAGTTGTTGCCATATGAATGTTCCTAGTTCCAAATAAGGCAAGTTTAGTCTTCTTTGGATTTGTATGTTCAGGTGTGTGATGGTGCACCTTAGGATGTGTAGGAAAGAATCTGACTGATGTGGATACTCATACTCTCCAGATTGCCAAAGGAATATATGAAATGAACCATTTATGGAAAGGTCCATTGTGGGTGGTAAAATACATGCAGATAAGGTCCATATACAATCTCTTAAACCAACTCGAACAATCCTTGATTTTCCTTGATAAATCTTCTTGAAATAGTTATTTTGCGGGTAGATTATACATCCCATACCATATTGACGTGTAGTTTGGCTGGTGGTTCCATCATCTTGCTCCATGTTCGATCCGGGTGGTCTTAGCATTGGTTTGGTCGTTTGGCCCGTTGGTTTGTGAATCTTTCTCAATCAAAAGTCTTCAAATACGTGACTTGATGGTAGAAATTGAAGGTTATGTCGTCCAAGTGAGTGGATGGCGTCTTAATCAAGTACTATCCATTTTGCTCCATACCTTGCATCATACCGTTTATCGATCTGCTACACACTCCGATCAGCTTATGGTCAATCAAGGTCCTTAGGCATGTATCAAATATCCAAGACTGTATTTCAATATATGAGAAGAGTCTCTTGGATCATCTCCCACAAGTATTTTTACACACGAAACCATGAAAAACTTAATTGAATTAATATTTCTTCATCGCTCTTCCACACGGTTGAGTCGGAAAGGATTGAGACTACCCTCCAAACCCTAATTCCCAATCTTCTCTGTCTTTGTGTCTAAGGAAAAAAACACAAACCGCAAGAGGAGAAAATATCAGATTTCCTACAGCCAATATCGGAGAAAATGGTAGGAAACCTTTTTTACGAAATAAATGTCCATAGGAAATCGAGAATGGTAGAAATTTCGTAGGAATTTTCCTTCGAAAATAAATTGGTAGGAAATTTCGAAGAAAAATGGAAGGAAGTGTGATACTATCGTATTTTCTCCTATTTTAGCTATTGTTTTCTTATGGTTTTGGAAGATTGGGTGTGATTTTAAGGCCAAATATATGATATTCAAGTATTTTAGGAGTCAAGAAGGTTTTATGAGTTTTAAGGCAAAAAAGACCAAAAGGCGAGCAAAACCTGTTTCAGGAAAGATTCAAAGCTCTAGAGGTTTTGCATCCGTTGGAGACCTCCACGTGCATCAAATTGAGAGATCTTTAACTCTATGAAAATCTAGAAGAGTCAGGAACCGCAACGAACTAGAATTAGAGACTCATACAATCAACAGTCGTTTTACTGCCTGTTTAAACGGTGCCCTGTCTGAGACCGGTCACAAGGAGTGTGACTAAGTGGTGAAGCCACACTTGGGACCGGTCACGGCCCATGTGACCGGTGTGGTGCCTTCTCCAGAGCTCGGTCATGAAGCCCATACCCGTTCTGAAGCCTCGTCCCTACACTTAAATTGAACTAAGTAGTTTTACCCGACAAAACCTAAACCGACTTCCGACTTCCCAAGACCTATAAATACTTGTTGTAAACCCTAAAAGGAGGTGTATCTCGATATTTTTTTCTTGTGCCTTCACCAAGAAGCCTAGAAAAGCAGCAGCCATCTTCCTCCTTGATCTGAAGCTTTGAAGATACCAAAGCTCATCTTTTCTATCTTGTTTTCTAAGATCTATTAAGTTGAAGTCTTACCTCTTATATCCAACGATTAAAGATGTAATATCTAACCCTATCCAGTTCTTATTCATCTTAATCTTATGAGTTATCAAACCTTCCTTTGATGAATCCCTTAGCCATGCTAGAGTAGTTTTCTAGTTGGGTTTAAAGGGCTAGTCAAGGGGGGCGGGGGGGGGGGGGGGAGGGGGGGGGGGATGAACCATCGTTTAAGGGGGGAAACTTAAGGGTTTGTTTTAACCTTTTTATTGTATTCTAAGGAGTTAAAAATTTTCTTAATGGATGTAGTTTGCCCCCTGAACTAACTTTTATCCCAAATGTTTACCTTTTCCAAAAAATTGCTTAAAAAACTCGAACCTAGCTTATGAATGTGTATTGGGGTATAACAAGCCCCCCCCCTTTTCATATAGGGGTTTATGGAATAGAATCTAACTCGTTCTTATTGCTTTGATATATGTGTTGTTGCATGCGTTAACTGAATAACGGAATATGAAGATTTTAACTGACTTATCTTATAACCTAGGGTTAGCCAATCATTAGTATTTCCTACGTCCGAAACTTGGAAGTAAACAAACCTAATCTTAGTATTACCTAGTTAGAAAGATTACTGAACCCTATGTGATCCCTTGAATGCCCAACATTTGTCACTTATTACTTTACACTGGCTTTTACTCGCTTTTATTTACTTACTTGCACACGTTCGTGACAACACCCAAAAAACCTTTTATTGATTAGTCCTAGCCTTACTTTCTTCTGACGGATTCGTAGAAACAACTTCTCTATGGGTGTGGGACTCGATACTTAAATATTACAGACGATTCACTATGCACTTGTTGTAGACGTGCGGTCTTTAAGGGAAAACTTTGCAGCAAAATAAAACACGCATCAAAGTGTTTGACCGATTTCCTACATAAATAATCATTGGAAAATGTTTTTTACCATTTTTCTACAAACTGTTTCCTAAGATTTTCCTAAGTAGTAATTAAAAATATAATTAATTAAATTGATTTAAATAATTATATTAATTAAAAAAGCTAAATTCTATATTATAAATAGTCAATATTTATTCATCCAAATAATATTTATACAATTAAATTATTTTACGAAAGTGTCTAAATTTAATTTAAAAACAAATTTGGTCTACTCTTGTATTGATGGATGACCACTCTGGAGTATCCTCTTGAACACATCCAACCCAAAGTGTAACGCCCCGACCGTGCCTACTAGTGGGTTCCACGTCCTCTCTCGGGCCCATGGGCCCACCCCTGTCCGACGGTCGGTCTGTTACGTCCGGGAGGCTTTAAAGACTTGATTTGGCCACCTATATCACCAAAGTGCACTTATCTTTTCGGTCAACTGTCCTGAGAGAACTCCACAGTTAAGCGTGCTTGGACTAGAGTAGTTTCAGGATGGGTGACCTTCTGGGAAGTGATTGTCGGAACTGTGTGAGTGAGGACAAAACACAAGAAAAGATCATGTGGTGATTTGTAGGGCCGGTAAACATAAGTGCAGAATCGACGTTTGACGGAGCAGAATCGAGCGCGATTGACATAGAGGAGTTGACACTAGACAGTAGTGTCGACCGAAACTCCCCTAGTGTCGATCGACACTGGCCACAGACTGCTCCAATTATCCTTGAGTTTCCACATGTTGTTGACCAAGTCTACACACCTAAAGTTCCTTATCCAATGCCTCAACAGTCTAAGCAGGAGGTTCAGGAGGAACGCTGCAAGGATCCTATTGCTGTAACTAAAAAGGAATTGGGTACATGTGAGACTACAAAAGCTGTGATGGCCAAACCGAGTGCTGAGAATCGATCTGCAAAGATGGTGTCGATCGACAACACTACTTGTGTCGATCGACACCCACGACGAACAGAACCAGAGTTGTCCAACAACGCTGTTTTTCAAGTTGGAATCGATGCTATAAGTCCAGGTACTATTGTCACATCAACCACTACACCTCTCCCACACCATCCACCTCCTAAACAGCGAAGGTACTCACGTTCTCCACCTAAACCTCCTGATTTCATCAATAAGACTTTTAAATTTTTCAAGACTATCACTACAAGAAAATTCTACATTAATAGCACAAGATGATAGCTCATTTTTCCCAACTGCTATCAAAGATGAGTTGTAAATTCAGTTTTTCTATAACAGCTTTTAGTAAACGCTAAGATAGAAAATCCTTAAGCGGGAATCTAAAATCATTTATTCCGCCTACACTAAACCAAAATAATTTATTATACCGCCAACACTTAGACATATTTCTCCTTTTCACCCAAAAATCATCTCTTTGTAACCTAAGGGCATCTCCAACCCTACTCTATTTTAGAGTAAAAATGCAAAATTCTTCTCCAACTCTACTCTATAATTGACTCTAAAATAGAGATTTCTGCAGATTGACTCTATATATAGAGCAACTCTATTCTCTACTCTATTTTTGAGTTCAACTTTTTTATTTATACTTTAGTCCCTCAAATTTAAACTTTTTTATTTAATACATATAATCATTTTACAAACAACAATTACAACACATAGTTTTATAAACTTAAAAAGCAAACAAGTACTAAATTTAAAATAAACAACATAAGAAAACTAAAACATAAAACTAGTAATTTAATAGTCCGGTAAATTGCTTGATTACTTGTTTTATGGAGTCAAAGTCAATAGTGGAGGCCTTGAAGAACAAAGGCATAACTGGTATAGGAGCAGCAAGGTTTTGTTGGGGTGGTGAGTTTGGTTTTCTTGTTCCTATATCACTTTTCCCTCATTCCTTTTATTTGCATTGTCCTAATAAAGGTTATGCGATTTCAGGAACAAGCAACTTGATGAATCACACCTTAAGGTACACATTAGTTTTTCCTCTTTAGATTCCAATTGAGTATAGCCGAATGTAAGCTTATGTGATGACATGATTATGTACCTTGCTGAAATCAATGTTCCCTCTACACTTGCATGGCTGCTATATCCTTTGACAAGCTTATGCTCTACCTAGCTAGTGTACAGTTTTTTTTTACTTAATCAGACTCTTAACTAGGCACATAGTGCAAAAAAATACTTTTTTTTTGTCTCTTGTCAAACTGGTATGTGATCTTGTTTGTTCTAAAACTTAATTACACATCTTTTTGTAACCAATTTATCTAAGAAAAATATGAAATCAGGACATTAGTTGTATACCCGAAAGGAAACAAAGAAGACAATGGAAGGGGGATTCGTCTCAATGTATATGGAACTTGACAAGAGCTGCCTCTCATCCACATGCACAGAGGTCTTTGCTTATCTCTCTTTCTTAGTCTTCAACAAGAAAGAGAAAAATACCTTTCAATTCAAGGTTTGTATACTTATCTATATCTCTCTCTATATATTGTATATGAATGAATCAGTAATATGTGTATATCCATGTTAACATGTAGATGTGGAGGTGAAGAGGTTTAATTTGATTCATCGAGAACTGTATGGGGAGTATCACAAATGCTTCGTATGATCCAAAACTTTAGTTATGAAGAATAGTTAGTTTATTGTATGTAATACAGGGTTATGTATGTTTTGTGTAATGAATATTTTTGATAATTTATGCAATAAAAAGAAATTATATACAAATCCAATTAAATAAATATTGCAAAACATGGTTTAAATATAAAAATTATATATAAATCAAATTATATTTATATAGCGAAAAAATGCTACAATACTATATAAAACAGCATTGAACGTGTGTTACAATAAAGTATATTATAAGATTCGATTAGCGCTATAATAGATCGACATTTAATAGCTTACTGAAAACGCTATCATATATGGGGGGTCTATAATAACTGGGGCAGAAATAGCGTTTTCAAAAACGCTATCAATGACATATTATAGCTCTTCTCTCATGCTAATAATATAGAAATTTCTTGTAGTGTATTCACGGTTAAGGACGCCACGAGTTTCTCGTCGAGCGCTTGTTCGTTCTTTTGATGATTGTGCAGGAAAAAAGACTATCCCACCCATACCTAAGTCCTGCCTTGTTGATGTCACTTACTTCCTTGGACAACCTCATGCACCAACTGCTTACACACCACCATGGATGATGAGACGTTTTTCCGGGAAGTATTTGCTGCCCCCATCTGATCCACGTGATGCAAGAATCCCGACATAGTCAAGCTAATGACTGAAAATAAGCGCTTAGTGGGAGGCAACCCACTGGTATGTTTTTCGTTTTTTTTTTTTTTTTTTTTCTTTTTGTTATTTTTCGCCAACTTCGGGTTTGAATGCCACTGGGGACAGTGTCGTTTAAGTCTGGGGGAGGCAGTTACTAACGACAATTTTCTTTTTGATTCTTATTCTTATTTTCTTTACTTTTGAGTCGTTTTATTGAGTCAAAATTTTTGTTGGAAATTATGATCTTTTTCTCTAGAATATTGCCTGGTTAGTTTAATGATGTAGATTCAATTCAATCCAACTAATGGAAAATCCGGAGAGTTAATCGATAGACTAGAGGACATCCACGTTTCTAACACAATCCGCTAAAGCCTGAGCAAAGTTCATGCTCTTCACCTCGTTAATACGGTTAGTATTCTCAGAACTTGACTCCTCGTTCATACCTGATAAATGAGACCAGTGTAGAAAAAGAATGGTACTCCTCTCCTTTATGCTTAAAAAAAAAAAAAAAAAAAAAAAAAAAAAAAAAAAAAAAAAGAGATTGAGATGATTTTCTTTTGGAGTAAAGAGATAGGAAAATTTCCCGTGATCTCATTATTTTACTTCAATAGGAATGATCACACGAAGGTTGGAAGCGAGGTTAGGAAAATTTTCGATGATACCATTATTCGCCTACACCTTTGAAGCTAAAAAAATAGTTTGAAAAAGAATAAGTTTGGGGGAGAGAAAGAGTACCCAAATATGTTGTAATGGTTGATTTATCATGGTCTAATACGGGAATGAGTCTAGAAGATTCTTGAGTACTGATTTTATTGATGAGATTTATGCGATGAGGGCTATAGGATATAGTTGCGAATTTGGTTTCGAATTTGGAATGTTGAGAATGCTTGCGGAGAATTACATGGTGGTTAGGATTTGATGCGATCTGATAGGCATTTGGATTTGGTTTGAATAATCAAGGTAATAGGCTAGAGAAATTGGGAGTTTTCGTTTTTTCAAACTTCTTCCACGGGTTCGGTTTTTGTGTTTTGCTTGAGAGCAAGCAAAAGCTAAGTCTGGGGGAGTTGATATATCACAGATTTTACCAGTTTTAACCATGATTTATGAGTCAGTTTTAGAGTCTTTTCGTTGTTTCTAGTGTCTTTTTGAGTCTTTTCAGGTTTTTACACGTTCGGGACAAATTTGGAGAAAAGAAATCATTCTGGAGCTAAACCGAAGATTTAGATCTAAGGAGACGAAATCGGTGTCGAACCAAGGCATGAGTGTCGACCGACACCCATTGGTGTCGCTCGACACCACACACGGCCCAACAAGAAGTCTCGATGGTTTAGAGTTTTAAAGACCGAAAAATCAACCCATAAAACTTCCCTATTTGCAACTTTAGTTCCTGCACGTTTTTGGAGACTTTATAAATAGTTTTTAGGGTTTTTATATTTCATTATCTTGGAGATCTCTGAATCTCTCATATTCTCATTCTATTGTACTTTTTGGGAGCTTGAACCCTTTGGGAGATAATTGGAGAGAGCTCCTCCAGAGAAGATCTTTCTTAACTCATCTTTTTTATTGAATTTCTTTATGCTTTCTATTCATAACATGTTGTTTGTTTCAATCTCCATGTCTGAGTAGTTTGCTTGTTAGGTTTGGGGATTTAGATGAATTAGTAGATCGATAACCTGTTAGGATAATATCTTTAGAGTTCTTCATCTTTGATTGTTCTTAATGCTAATTCTAGAGTAATTAACTAGAATTTGATCTTAGGATAATAGGTAGATTCGAGAGGTCATCTATTACTGGAACTATCTTAGGTGGGCATAAATTACTAGATTCATACGAGAGGTGGTCTAGGAATATCTGTGAACAAATCAAACATGTTATTAATGCTAGTCTAATTCTAGGAGTTTACATTCGAGAGGTGGAACTTCGTGATATTAGGTCTAATCAGTCAATTCATTCGATAGGTGGTTGGCTATAAATTAGTGATTTGAGTTCTAGAACGGTTCATTAATAATCTTAATTAATTTGCTAGATCTACTATTTATTTATTTCTTGAGAAATCCCTAAGCCTGACGTTTTCCTCATCTGCTTTAAAACCCGAATTTAATTGCTTTCTTTTATTTTTAATATTCTTATTTTCTGTTTAGCTTAATTCGAAACATGTTAGTCTATTGTGTGAACACGAGAGCTTTGTGCAATTTGACCATAAAGTACTGCAATTGATCTCTTATTTGAGAGAGTAGTCTTAGGTCTTAATTTGACTCACATCAAATAGGGAGTCGAGAACGTTTTTGAGAAAAATAAGCAACAATTATTAACTTTTAGGTTTTGTTATTTTAATTTGGGCTTGTTATTTTAGGGCCTATTAATGGACATATGTTATAAAGGTTCAGCATAGTTAAACAGATATAATAAAAAAACTTATTAAATTTGGGCCTTAAATTTATCATCATCATTCGGAGGTAAGCCAAAAATTCTCCTCTTGCTTTGGGTTAAATCTTCTGAAAATTGATTCACGTTCAACGTAACTGGATCTAGCTTGATTCACTTTATGGTTATTTTGGATCTAGCAATTTCACCCTTAGGTTTCATAAATCATGCACTAGTCTAGAAATGTGATGAACTCTAGTATTCTCTTTCTGTTTAGATTTTCTCTGATGTGCTTAGATCTAGTCTTATCAAACTTGTTGTAAATAGCTCTCTCAAGTTGGTTTCAGATCTGCTTACATCTGCTTCCATTCTACTCTAATCTCATCTTAAACAATAAAGTAACAGTATATACCAAATTGCTTAGTGATACTAATGGCTTTTAGTGCTTACATCTTTTGGAAATTCTCCTCTTGGTTTGGGTTAAATCTTCTGGAAATTGTATCAAGTAAGCAAGCAATTATCCTCTTGATACTAATGGCTTTTAGTGCTTACATCTGCTTACAATCGATGATACTAATTGCTTGCTTGCTTGATACTAATGCTTACATCTGCTTATGAAATCATTCTTCTGGAAGACGTAGAAATCAGATTATGCAAGAATCAGAGTCTTCATAAAAAATTTCGGAATTTCAAATTGGACATCTAGCAAAAGAGATGTTATTACAAAGATCTTTGAAAGACTTTACATGGAAAATAGTCACATATATTTGGTTCAGAAGAATCATAATAAGCAACAAAGCTAAAATAGTAAGTTTTATAAGATAAGCATGAATAACTCATATGTACAAGACGAATGTTTAGAAGAATATATGTCGATAGAAATTTAGACTTGAAGTTCATATAGATAAATGAAATACTATTCGGTGTAAGAAAAGATACGAATAACCAAAACTCTCATGATCCTAATGGTTATATGACAAACATCATACCATTTTGTTTACTAAGATTCTTAATTTAATGATGGTCGAAAGGATAAAATATATGTTCATAATGCATATCCTGAAGATGATGCTTTCAGAAGAAAAAATATGACTTTATCAGTGGTTGTACTCATTTATCATTGTTTTTGTCCTATTTGATTTTTCCATGAAATGTTTTAATGAGATAACAAAGAAGTCGCAAATGATAGACACCTAAATGGATTCTAATGATGAAAGATTATCATTCTTCAAAGTCTTTGACATTCATTGATGAGATCATTAGAAACAAAGATAATAATCAAGATGAGTTACCTACAAAACCTATGAACTGAAGAATAATGGTGATGTATGTGTGTTACAAATTTGACTTAGTTTCTTATGGGACTACTAAGCTTAAAATACAGGAGGTAAGTAACTCAATAAACTACCACATAATCTCGCACATCGCGTGGATACTCATCTAGTGAGTTTTAAAAGTAATAACTATCATGTGTTTACGCCATTAGCCTCACAAAATAATCAATTTGTTTTGAATATTATGACTAAGGTAATGATTATGAATAGTTCTACTAGTAATTCGAAAAACATGCTCTTTCATCACGGAATAAAATTTTGCTAACATCTCTATTAATCCTAAAAATTGCCAAAACTATTTTGTAAAATTTCTCATTTGTTCCACGAAATGCCAAATTAGGCTTTGCAAGATATCTCACAATTTCAATAATTCTAACTAATACATTTTTCCAATATTCTTTTTTTTCTTAAATTGTTCTTGAGCAACTTCATCAATAGTTTCATTTTTTTTTAAGTCTACACCGTAATTCAACCCAAGATATCATATTAAGTATATGTTTTTTACTTTTTTCATGCTCATTTAATCTAACAAATATATGACTCCAATCCGAAAGACATTCTTTTGCTAATTGACTTCTACGGATACCTTTCTTAAAAATCTTATAACAAAAGCAAAAAAATTTTTATCTAATTCTTTTGAATAAACTAGCCACTTTATGTCACTTGTTTCTCCATTTGACAACTTTCTAATATAGCAAAATGAAACAAATCTTCTTTGACAATAGATAAATCTCTTTTTTGGTCCATTAATTGCTAAGT